TCAGTGTTTAAGAGCCTTGACTGCTCCTGCAGAGGACCTGAGCAGAGTTCAGTTCCCAGCACCCTCATGGTGGCTAACAACCACCTGTAACTCCAGTTCCAGGTGAGCCAACCCGACCCCCTCTTCTAGCCTTTATGGGCATTGCACACACAGTGTACATGCAGGAAAACCACTCACATACATAAAATAAAAATAACTAAATCAAGCCGGGCATGATGGCACACACCTTTAATCCCAGCACTCGGGGAGGCAGAGGCCAGCCTGGTCCACAGAGTGAGTTCCAGCCCATCTGGGGCTATAGGGAGACCCTTTCTCAAAAAGACAAAAAAAAAACAAAAAAAAAACCATAAATAAAAAAATTTAATAAAAAAAGAGGGTTGAAGAGGTAGCTCAGCAGGTAAAGTACATGCTGTCCAAGCACAAGGACTGGGTTTCAAATCTCCAGAATTCAGGGAAAAGCCGGGTGGGCATGGCAGCCTCCAGCACACAGGGGACAGAGCCAGAGAATCCCTGGAGCAAGCTGACTCACCTGCTCCAGGTTCAGCAAGAGACCGTGCCTCAATATGCAAGGGAGAGTGACTGAGAAAGTCACGTGCCATCAACCTCAGGAATCCATATGTATACACACACATGTGCAATGCACCTGCACATACATGCAAGCACATGTATACCATACACATAGAAATATGCAAAAACATTTATTTCTTTGAGGCAGGATCTCATGTTTCCCAGGCTGGCCTCAAATTGTCTATGTAGCTGAGGATGTCCATGAATTCTTGATTCTCCTGATTCGCCCAACCAAGTGTTGGATTATTGGTCTGAGTCACATTCCCACAGTCCTGGGAATGAAACCCAGGGCTCCATATGTAGTAAGCAAGTACTCTACCAACTAAGCTATGTCCCTCGTCTCCTGTTTTTAAATGCTTTATTCCTTCTTTCCTCTCCCATTAAATAAAGATAAGTAAAAGTATACTAATCATTCCAAAGGCCCCTATACTTGGAAGGCTTGGA